CTAAACTCAAGAACGATTGATCATACAAAATTACATAGAGCCCGTATACAATGAAGTTGAAGGTTAGTTTAATTTAATTTTAAGAAGTACCATATTGAATTTTTTTACAAACTTCACTTCTTAAAAAAACTGTTTCTATTTGTTATTCTATTTTTAACCGACTTCCAAAAAAGGAGGAGGTTATCAGTTCGTCGGAATATTATTATTTTTTTATGTACATATGTTGCCGCATAACTTTGGACCACGTCAACCAATTTCGGTAATTCTTTTGCATCCGAAAGGTAGTGTCTCAGAGGTGGCCCCATACTAATCTGGTTTAGATTCGATCACTGGATCATGGAAATACATATATATATAAATTCAGGTCGGTTTTTTTTACTAAAATTACTTGTTTAAATAAATGCTTGGAATTGAACGGCTCAGTGGGCAAAGCTTTCCCATAAGAACCTACTTGAGTAAGTCGCCTTCTTTTAATTTAATTTCCAGATGTGATGTGGCGGCTTTCGCTACTTTCACATGTACATACATATGTATGTATATATAATACATACTTATATTCACATAAAAACTGATAAGTAACTAAAAGTGTTGAAAGGCTTCAAATACAGTTACACAGTTACCTACAGTTTAGACATCTTCAAGTGGTTGCGCAGCTCATTTTAAAATTGTGTTGATTGATCCAAGTGCAACTGTTGATGAATTTTCGTCGATCATCTCGAGAGTCCTGTTTGTAAGCCTTTCGCGCTCTTTTAACACATTCTCAGACACAAACGTTTTGTATTTTAGTTCTAGCATGGAACTAGTTGGCGGTTTCCCTGCAGGGTAAATACAATACTTGGTTTGCTACTTCAATATGATCGACAATCAATCAATTTCATGTACTTAAATAAGTAGTCTCGCGGACAGTTTTTTCTACTCAAGTGGCTAGTGGTTAAAATATTTCACTTTCACTGATAGATGAAATATGCATGTGGAACAATGCATATATGTATACTTACATACATACATACAAAGTATGGGAAGATTGTATATATTTAGGTACATAGTTATGTATACATAAGAGAGGGTTACTTATTTCTTTTTGCTTCTGTGTAAATTTGGATACCTTTTCCCAATAAGTACTCATAAGTTGAAAGAAATCGTTCTGGCTAAATCGAATCGTAGTAATAAGCATCGACTATTCACCGCTTAGATACGGTAACTTTGTTTTCGAAATCCGTGGACAAGAATGGGAAAAAGCTGACTGCATTCTAAATATTTATGTAGTTAATTAAGTTTGCTAATGACCGAAATTCTCTTCCATATACTGTGTAAAAATGTCCGTCTTTTCCGGCAGATATGTACATATATTTTTATACAGTTTTCAATTTATTATGGATACTATATATGCTAAGGCAATCCTGCTTGGGATTCAAAAGTAAAAAAAAAACATTATTTTGAGCCTTATTAGTAGGTCATTCTGTATACAGGACTGTCTGCACGTACTGTCTATTTTTAACCAGATGAATTCCTTGGTGAAAGACCTGAAGAAACCAGTCTGTTAGCAACTGCGCACAGTGGTTCGAATAGAACAAGCTAGCTGGACAAAATTATTTATTTAGCTAGACTTTCTGACTAACATGGCTGTATCTAATTACATTTTGTGTAATGAAATTGCAATCGGAGCTTATCGTTTAATTATAAACATATATATATATGTTTGTATATAATGTGTGTACGTTTCCGAAGACCCCGAAACCGCTGATGAATATGATTTTGATGTTATTAACACAAATACTCTGGCGTAGTCTGGAGATGGTTCCTTACAAGTTTAACCCCTATTGGACTCAAAGGAAAAGAGTTGCCACCCAAGTAAAAAAAAATAAATATGGAAAAGTTAAATGTAATATTACAAAATTGGTATCAAATGAAAGGTGATTGAGGAAGTCCTAATCCGAACACGTGTTTAAATATGTCTACCACCTATAAAATAAAATAGTTGCCAGTTTTAAAGAAATATTTTTAAAATATCAAAAACAATTTAAAAACTTTGCACATGAGATTAAATAAAAAATCCATCTCATGCTGGAACAATAAAATCTTTCTTTATTCAGATTAATTACACCGTTCAAGTTGAAAATTTATGCAGTTTCTGATAGTTGATGATGGCTCCAGTTTTGGAGATAACGGTACTTGAATATCTGCTTAAATTTTAATTTTTTTATAAATAAATCTCTCAGTTTTAAAATAATTTTATTTTTTGCACCTGACTTTTTTTTAATATTATTTTAACTATTTCTGAAAATCATCGAAATCTGTTAACCCATAAAACTGGTTGTTCATATACGAGGCGCTTTACTAAAAAATATATCAATAAGCAGTTGCATGGGAGCTATATGCTATAGTAAACCGATTTCGGTGATTTTCAGAAATATTAATATTAAAAAACAGTCACGTACAAAATTTTATCAACATAACTTTAGGGAGATCTTTAAAACAAGTTTACATTTTCAATTACCATTACCTCGAAAATTGGATAGAATCCGGTAAAACGAAACGCCATTGAAGTTAGAAGGCCTCAATTAAGTACGATGAACTATCAGAACCTGTGCTCATTAAAAAAAATCAAGATCCGAACACAGTGTTATTATATATACAAAAATGAGAGATTGGATAGATATCGCAGATTTCGAAGGTTGTTCTTTATGAATAGAGATACGGAAGACTAAATCTTCCACCATACATTTACTAAAAAAAAACTCTCCCTGATAAAAAGTTGTATCTCTTTTGGTAACTTTTCGGTGATCAGTGGGGAAAGACTACATGAAGACAATTAAAATCAATATTTAATTAATAATATAAATAAATAAATTAATATCATGAAATTAAACAACACGCGTCAGCGTTTTTCTGAAAAGAACAATTAATTACTTATTCTGGATTTCCACTAGGCATTAAATGGCAAAAATGACAAATGACAAAGTCGGGCATTACAAAATAATCGGGTCATTACATTAAAACAATTGTCATTAAGTTCATTTCCACATGGCATTTTTTTTAATGGCGTAAATTTTTCGTCATTTCAATGCCTAGTGGAAATTCGGCATTATCCTTGAACAATAATCATGCAAACATTTTATCTATGTAATTTATAAGAATGAGAATATTGGTTGTCATTTTCAATATTTAGAATACCAAAATTCAATGTCGTCTTTTGTCCAGCCAGCTTGTTCTATTCGAATCACTGTGCTGCGGCGGGAACTACATATTCCATGGTTTAAAATTTTGATGGCCTTCAAGAAAATGCCTTGCACTTCGTCATTTTCGTTAAGAAAAATGGCAGAAAAATTCCAAATGTTAATTTTTTTTAACTCCTAAAACCAATCTAATAAAATGGAATTGATCAGCTTACAGTACTTGTCTTTTTATGTACATAATATTTCAATTTAAAGATAATTGAAACAATATTTTTTTGATTTTCAGATTACTGCCATCTTTTTTGGATCCATATTTTTATACAGGTAAGTGATGAATAATTATAAGAACTTCGATCGTTATGAGGGTTTATACTGCAACTTTAAATTATTGCTTTTGCCTTAAATTGATAGACATCTTGTCAGCATGGGTACTAGTTACGCAATGAAGTGTTTCGAGCAATATGCAGTTATATGCGAAACATTCTGTTGTTGTTGGGTACTTCGAAACTAAAACCTTGCACTGATATTTCATTTTTTTTCTCTGCATCCAATTCTGGAGCAACCTTACCTTTTTTTTTTTTTGAAATACAATGCTTTCTTCAAATCTTAAAAGTAGGTAACTATGCAATTTACCTGCATCCACAGAAGTGTAATACTCTTCAAATAACGGATTTAATAAATTCAAGAATTGAGTGCATCGTATCTTTGAAATATCCTTGCTTAAAAAAAGGGTACAATTATTTATTGTCAATCAATCAAAGTGCTGTACGAATTTCACTTTCATAGCATTTTCCCAAACATATAAACGCACCCATGCACAAAAAGAAAGTGGGGAAATTGAAGAAAGGTGTAGAGTGAAATTGTAAAAGGATTGAATTGCGGAAATCCTTTCATTTTTTACAAATAGTCATTGGAACGAATTTATTTTTTTTATCAACTGCGTACGTAGTTTTGTAGTTGTGAAAAAATATGTATGTTTAACACGAACAATAAGGCATATCCTTCCTACTTCCGTTCATATTAACAAGATTAATGAAAGGCTTGCGAAATTGGAAATTCGATTTTCGATGCCGAACAAATCGACAACGATAAGCTTTAATCTAAGTATTGAAATGCACCAACGCAATTCGGTACGCTGATGTAAACAACTACATACATACGTATTTTGCACACACCCTCAAAGTGTTGTCGATCAATGATCAGCAAACGCTTGGCTGAAAGTGAGCATTCGTTTGTTATCCTTGGCTGATGATAAGTCCTACAAAAATATCTACGTACGTACGTACGTAGTCGGCTATTAGCAGCAATGCTCGCCAAACAAAGCCAGCAAAATAGTTTCACCCATCTACCTGCTGAATCGCTGAGCATTTTCTCACCTGTTTTTCTGATGCTGCTGCGATGCAGGCGTGAAATGCAATTGGAACCTGCGTCGAATGCTAGGTAATTTAATATTGTTGATTATTAAAACGATACACTGCCGGAAATCGATAGAAAACACCCACAAAGGTACGTTTTTTCTCTCCATAAATGCTGGCTCAGGTTGTAATGCTTTCTTTTCATTTTCACTTTGTTTTTCCTCTGCACTCGCTTTCGTACATGCAAATATTTTCTAAATAAATATTAATGGGATATTCAAATGCAGCATGCACATTTACGCAGCAACCATTCGTATATGTAAATTCATATGTAGTATGTATGTATGTATGCATTCACACTTTATTGATACAGAATTCAAATACAAATACTTATAATTACTCAGCAAAATTCCAAACGCACAAATGTCGGCACCTTTAGCTACGAATAGTTAAAACGATTAAGCACATATGTATGTATATATGTATATATAAGTAAGAGTGTAAAGTTTTGATTATGGCAACTTAACTCAACCTAACTTAACTTAGAACTTAACAAATCAAAATGAAAGACTTCTGCTTAGCATTAGGTTACGTTAAGTTTCGCCGGTCCAACATTCATTTAAGAGCGCTTTTAAGTGACAGCCTGTAAGCTACGTTAAGTTGCCATAATCACACCTTAAGTGTAAGTTTATTTCCTCACTTTTATGCCTCCCGCGGCGTCAACACTATTTTAAATCCATTCGCCAACTTCAAGATGATATCGCCTTGCAAATTAAATTGTGACTCATCCACATTGGAGTGAATATGAAATTTACGCACCAATGTCGACAATAGCACTTTTAGCATCAACATAGCATATTTACGTCCGACACAGCTACGTGGACCCGCACTGAAAGGTATATAGCTGTAGTAGTGACGCTTCGCCATTTTCTCTGGCAAAAAGTTGTCGGGATCAAATTTTTCTGGATTCTCATAGCAATCTGGTCGCCGATGTACGGCATATTGTCCCAATATGACTGTCGTGCCTTTCGGTATAACATAGGGACCAGAGGCGAGTGGCACATCCTCATTCACTTTACGTCCTATAACCGGTACTGGTGGATAGAGTCGTAGCGTCTCTTTGATTACGCGCTCCAGGTATTGCATTTCCAGTGTATCGGCAAAGGTACAATCGCGTTGCAAATCATCGGCGAATATTTCTTCTTGCTCCTCGAAAACTCGTGCTTGCACATCCTTGTGAATGCCAAGTAGACAAAGTACGAAGCTGGAACCCGCCGAAGTGGTGTCGTGGCCCTGTAATTAGAAAACGAGATTAGCCATCATAGGGATATTTATAACCATTGAGGCAAATCAATCAAATTATGATTGTGTGAAAGATTTGTGGGCTTTCCACCTATATCGGCCCTCAATGGGAGTGCAGAGATTTAGGCCATTGACACGTTTTATTCGTGTCGACAACGAAAAGATTGTAAAGCAGAGAGCTCTTAAGGTCAAGATTTCCGCAATCCGCGATACGTATGCAATGATCAATGCAAAACTAAGTTTACTCAGTATATTTATTAAAGATCGGTGGATGTGTGATGCTAAGAACTGCTATCCATTAATAGGCCAACTAAACAATGGGTCATAAGACTAATCAAGAAGAAAGGGTCGTTAAGTATTTGACAGGATCATTCAACGGCTTTGGCTTGCCTGAACCTAGTAATAAGGGTAAGAGAGGAAGTAGAATTTTCACATCACCCCAGAAATGGGCACGGGACTAAATATTTAATTCCGATCCTGCCAATCCCGAACTTCAATTTTTAAGTCCCGAGCCCGCCCATGCGGACATTTTTCAGAATTGTTCCGCTTGCAATATTTTCACAGGCCTTCCCGATATCGCTCATCTTGTCAAATTTGAAATGAGTACCGTGGGTGCCGATATCCCGCGCCCATCTCTACTTCACACACATCCTTTTTCAGGATTATTTCACGGGTTGTGGGATCATTTCGGGATTTTGTTTTACTGTTCGGGATTTTTTAGAATTTTCTTTCTTTTTTGCGTGGGCAATGTTGCAATGAAATAGAGGGAGAGAGTGAGAGAGAGGCATATATGAAGATTAGGGGTCTTTTCCAAATATTACTTTTTTTATTTTTACTATTCATTATTGTTTTTTTTTGCTGTTTTGGATTTCTTGGAGTTCTATTTTTCGGTATCTTCGGGATCATTTCGGCATTTTTTGGGAGCTTCATTTTCATCTCGATCTTCCTTTACATGCGTACACAATGGAGACCGTGGCGAGAATTTCGAAAGTTCATTCCTGTTCATGAGTATTTCATTCAACTCGAGCGAAAATATTATCATTCCTGCGTGAAAATATTTTTTTCAAGCTTTAATTTCACGAGCTAAAAATACCACGAGCGCAAAACGCAGGCAATGAGATCATCTCTAAAGCTCTTTTTGAATATCAATCACACATAGAGCTATTTTTGAATATCAAAACAGAAAATTCTAACAGAAATTTAAAGTGCAATAAAGCGGGCGCTCTATAGTGAATTAATTCATTTAACTCACATTATTAGAATAAATTATTTCTATTATGTACCTTAGTATGCTTTTTTGGTTGCCATGACTAGTGATGGCACGATTAATCGAATAACCAATTATAATCGGTTATTTCCATTCAGTTAACGATTTAATTGTATCGAAATTTTCCTTTCGATTAATCGAGCGATTAACCGATTAATTTTTCAAAATAATCGAAAAGAAACCATCAAAAATTTACTAATTTACTTACACAATAACGTATGAATCAAAATACGTTGGGATGTTTTTTACATTCTCGTATTCTAGAAATTTTGTAAACGATATTTCTGCCAAAAACCGCAACACAAGCTTAACCTAAGTAGCTATTAAAAAATCCAAACAATCATTTTATTTTTCGTATTCGCCGTTGCGCATTTTCTTCTTTTTTATATGGAACAAAATAAGCAACGCCATTACCAAACAGAAAAATACCAAAAATCAGCGATAAGTGCCAGATACTTTAGCCTTGGAATTTTTCATACAAAACTTGAATGGGCTACAAAACTGCATACTGAAAATCTTTCTAAGAAATCTAATAAAAAAGCTGGAATTTTTTGTTGATTTTTTTTTTATATTGCGCAAAGTTTGATACGTTTTTTTGCTAAAGAATAAGCTATATTTAAAAAAATAACTAAAATTAAATAACAAAAAAAAATCTTGTCGTTCGCTATAATTTTGACTCGAAGTGTAAGTCAGTTTTCATTAATTTTCGATTTTAATTGAAAAGACCGATTAATCGGTTAATTTCTTACGATTAATTGCAATTATTAATCGAATGCTTTCGATTAATCAATTAACCGATTAATCGATTATTAAATTTTGTTTGCCATCACTAGCCATGACATTTTCTTTAAAGAATCAATTTTTAACCAATTAACCCCAATTGAATATCAAAATCGAAAGTTTTATTAAAAACGTACATACCTCAAACATAATCGTGTTCACTTCATCCATCACATCCTTCTCCGTCCATTCAATATTTGGATTTTTTGTCATCTCCACCATAGCATCCAGCAAAGCCAAACGACGCTTAGCACCTGTACGAAACAAAACAAAACCACAATTGATAGCAATTAGTTACACTTTCCGCTTTCGTCTTCATAATTTTTATACATTAATTTTCTAAAGGGAATCTCAAAATCCCTAATCGATCTTACCCACAGCCCGCTCTTCGTCGATTATATCCAAATCGTCGCGCAGTCCTTCCGCTTTCTTGCCAGCCTTCTCATTCAACGCATCCTGTTGATCCAATACGCTATCTGTTTCCAAATTGAAATTTGCACGCCGCTGTGCGACGACATTCCTCGTTAGATTCAAGATTATATTCATCATATTATCACACTTCTGCCGCAATTTCGTCCACCGATAAATGGGATCGAAATGATAATGTGGCTTGGTCTGACGCTTTTGTATGATGTCGCACATTTCAACCACCGCATCTGCATAGCGCACACACTCCTTGCCTTCGGGTAATTTTTTCATGCCCATCGCTGTGCTAAGTAAAATTTCAACCGTCGTCTGACTCATGTGCGAATGTACATCGAACTCTTGACCCAGAAATCGCGCTTCCAGCCGATTAGCAACATTTTGTGAGTGTTTTACGAAAGTCGGTACGAAACTCTTTAGAATGCTCTGATGAAAAGTGGGTGCAATCATTTTGCGATGATGACGCCAATGATCGCCTTTGCTAATGAGTAGACCGTCACCAAACCAAGGCTGGAAGAATTTATACTCCACCGATTTCTCCAAGTGTACGGAGCTATTCAGAATAATTTCAACATCAGCTGGATTTGTTAAGAAGACAAGCCTGATGTTAAAGAAGCAGCCACTAATTGTTTCCCCATACTGTTTCATGTAGACTAAAGCTTTTTGCACCAACTCTAAATAAAAACAAACAATTAATAAATATGTATCGAGAGTTTTTCAAATAGCTAACACTCACCAGTAGGGGTTACACCTACAAGCAAATGAGCATTCCCAATTACGGGCAAGATTGGCGGGCCGGGTATAGTCCTTAGCTTCTTGAATGCATCTGTATTACGATACCAGATATCGTATAATGTTATAGCCAATACCGCGCCTATTAAACTGATGTATAAAGGACTCGATAGGAGACTCTGCTTGGCCAAATCAACATGTTGTGGTGGTGTTGTTGTTGTATTTAGTAAATCCGCCGTGTCCATGGCTACTGCACTTCTAGCACTACTTCATTAAACTGCTGGCCTATTCTAAGTGCAACTGGAATTTTAATGCAAGCTCATTGCTTGGTCTCGTAATAATCGGAATGCATAATGATTAATGCAAAATGTCTACGTACATACATATGTATATATGTACATACTATATAGCATATACTTAAATAGCTTAGCGAACTCCACTGAACTTTAAAGTGAACATTTTATACGTAGTCAGTCTACTAAAAACACAAGTAATGCACATCAAGCTCCCGTTTTTCGCGAAACCTCGCTATGTAAACACACAATGCACTTCTGGTGTTATATGCACTTGTGGTGTACATATGTATGTACATATGTATGCATTTACATTCTTTGCATAAGTAGTCTGAATGACGCATTTGCTTGGGCACACGTTTCAGGAAAAATTCAGGTACTATAAATGCGCCAAAATCGATAATAAATATCGATAACAAAACCGATAAAATATCGATTATTAAATCGATAAGTCCCAAAAATTTCGAAAATCTCTAAAATCCCGAAATAGTCACCAGATTGAGTCTCTGTCTAAATTCTTTTCTCTATAATTACCTTTATTTTAACTTGTCTTCCTCTATCTTCATCTTTGCTTTTATCGGTATCCTCATCCTCGTGTTCTTCTTTATTTTTATCTTTGTTTTTACCTTTATGTTTATCATATTCTTCATCTACATATCCCTCTTCACCTTTGCCTTTTATAAATATTGCGCCATCTGTTATTCAAAAGCCGAAATACCTACACACACATACTTTTTCTTTCCTTCTCTCACTTCAAATGCACGCGTTTGTAAAATGATGATGAAGTGATTTTGTATGGAAACTTATTTAGGCCCATACATTTGAATCAAATAAGCATACTTAGAAGATATCAACCAATACTTCCCATATACCAAATGAAAGAAAATCTCGAATTTTTTATTAAAGAAAACAAAAACATTCGAGCGGTTTTCGAGCATTTTGGATCGCTTTGAATCGATGTCATGCCATGGTCGTCAGGAAAGAAGAGGTTCTAATCCGAGGCTGGGTCCAAAGCCCACCGAACAACCCATTGCAGGGGTGTGACTTCTCAGATTAACTCCCTTCGGAATGGGTGTTCGGTTACTAATTCGTGTAAAGCCTGGAAGTCGTGAACTGCAAGAACCGGAAGCAGAATTATAATTTTTTGGCACTGCGAGCAAACGGTGATCAAAAGCGTAAAACACGCTAAAAGCATCTAGCGTCTGCAAAAAAGCAAACAACCAATGTGCCTGGAACCCAGGTGAAAAGAAGTATGCGCATCCTTTGTGACCGGAATAACTTGTATATTTTAATAAAATATTTTCATTTAAATTTCATATTAAAATTTTTTTAATGCATTTTTAAAGATTTTTAATAAAAATTTTACGACGAAACCTATGAACAGCTTGTTATTCGCTAAGTTTTTCATATAACAACTAGTAGACACAGGGAGACCCCGGTTATGTGTTTGCACAGGTGTCGACTTTAGAAGCTTATAGTTGCGGTACCACGGAACCGAATTTCATAAGTGGCTCAAACGACGCATAAATACCTAGTCTTCCTAGATCCGAAGTTTTAATGCTCTACAAGCAGTGGCATTTTAGCCACAGCAGTTCAAAATTGCTAGTGGACACACCGGTACCCGGTTATGCGTTCTAGGGTTAAACCGATTCGACCTAACCGACGCCACAGCGTACAGTGGTTCAAAATTAGAATTTAAAGCTCATAATTAATTGCAGCCTTCATTTATCCACCAATTTGATTATTCTTTTTTCTTTTTTTAATGAAAGCTTTTAAAATTTGCAAGGCACCGGTTGAGCCCGATTTTGGAACTTTCACTTCCTTGTATTTATTAAATTTTTTAGTACAAAGCGCGTAAATAGTAGTAATTTTGAAGAAAATCGATTCTCCTGTTCCAGTTAATAAATGTTACATAATAAAAAGCACTAAAAAACAACTGTAGGGTTCCCCAAAAACAAAATCTTACAAAAAAAAAAATTCACCAAAATTTAATTTTTTCAGTTTTTGGAAAAATTTTGGATATGCAGTTTTATAGATCGAGCAAGTTGCAAGTGGCTAAGGCTGCATTTCACCAGCTTCATTTAAGTGAAAAATATTTTGATTTTCGAATTTTTACTTTCACCATTTAATTTTAATTTGGTTTTCAATTTGATTTAAGTGACCTGTGCCTTTCACTTAAGTAAAAATTAAATCAGAAAACCACACTCAGAGATGTAAGAGCTTAAACAGACGGCAGTGTTGATCCGGATCAACTCGGGAATTAACTGCAGTTGATCCGGATTAAGTCCCAGTTAATCCCGATCAACGCTGCCGTCTGTTTAAGCTTTTACACGTTTATCAGCTGATCAATATACACACACCACAATATTGTGCATCAGCTTCTTGCTTGTATACCAACCCTGCTTTTTCTACCACATTTAGCCTGGTGCTGCCATATTTTTACTCGCTTAAATAAAGAGCTTATTGAAACTGAAAAAAATTTAGAATTAAATAAAAAATTAAATTACAATTAATTTCCACTTAAATGAGTTTGGTGAAACACGACCTAGTGATTTTTAATAATTTTTTTCGCAAACTTCTCGAGCACATCTGCACGTTGCGTAGTTTATATTCTTATAAAATACATAAATTACTAAAAATCAATGCGAACTCTTAGCCAATTGAAACTTGCTATTTATTACACTAAATTTTCATGATCTATAAAATACCCAAAATTTTTCTAAGGACTAAACGAAAAGTGTTAATTTTGGTGACTTTTTTTTTTAAAGACTTGATTTTTTTTGGAGGAATCCTACAATTGGCGCTTTATTGAACGGGTACAGTGCTTCCAGCTTTTTAAAACCACAATGTTAGTTACATTTTCGCATATACGTGAGCTTCTCCCCTTCAAAATGAGATATCAATCATTAAATTTGATAAAATATTAAAGAGATATCGTTCGTATCGAGACAGAAAAATACTTTTTAGAAATAAGTACATAATATGTAGATATATAGATGGCTATCAAATGGTTGGTATCGGCGAAAAGATGCTTCATAGCTATTTTTTAAAAAGGGTTTTCCACCTGTCTGAAACGTGGAATTTAATTAAATTATGCACAGGTAATATTAAATATTAAAATATTTTTCTAAAACGGTTATTGTCGACGAGGAGAAGGTTTATAGTTATATTTTGAGAAGGGTGGCCATCTGTTTGTAAAGTTGAATTTAGCAAATTTATGCACAGGTGGGCTAGGAGATTTTTATTTTGAACATTAAGATAATTTTGAGGGGTATGAAGAATGTCTTCCCCTGCTTAAAAAGTTAAATTTTTAACGTTTCTGTTTAATCGGTTCAATTTTTTTTAGTTTTGGCAATTATGAAAATAATTATATTTAGGTCTTTACCGAAAATGAAATCCCATCGTTAACGCTGTTAACGTTAAGAAGCCTCTTACCATGCTATCTGCTAAGATCGATTCCCACTGCTCATTTATATCAGATATTTGTTCAAGCGGGATTCACAGGGAAAATTCCTGGGTGTCGTTTGTCACTGTATTTGTTCGACGTCGAACTTTCGTCTTTGATCAGGGTATACCCAAATGATTTTATGAATGTTTCGACGCTGATGGATGGTATTACTAAACAACTAGCATGGTCCGTGCTGCGACGAAGTCGATCAGCCTCTCTACGTTGTCGGAGGTGTTGTCATGAAGTCTGAAATTTCCGAATGTTGGACGGAATATGTTTAGCTCTCATGCCGGTTATGGCAATTCATTCACAGATGGAGGTGCAGCTGGATACAAGCTGTCGAGGGCTTCTCCCAACTAGAAACCCCACAGTAATTTTGTGCGCCGTTTCAAGGCAGCTTTAATAGATGTCGCACGCTGCACGCAATCATGCCCCGTCCATCTCATTTCCTGTAATGTGGTTATGTTAGCCTGGTATTTCCCTACGTAAACCAGCAGTTGGATAGAGTTACCTTTTTTATGGAGGGTGCGGACATTCTAAGCGCGTGTGATGAGGCCTCACAATTTTGCGGATTCGTCTTATAATTTCCTTTCTGAAGAGTATCGGCCAATATTTATATTTGCAACTCTCGCCGAAAAAAGCGAGCAAAGCCAGTTGGAGCTAGAGTTTGTTGAAATTTAGCCACACTTTTGTATTGTTTTCGGACACTCAACTACTGGGGAATAGGTCACAAATGTTAGGGCGATTATGCAATCAAGATAATCTACTAACCTTTTTTTCGCATACCCCACGTCTAAGCAAAAATTCTTCTACATGATTCGAGTGGCTTTAATGAGGGCCTTTTGTAGATGGAAGCTGCAACTAAACGGCTTATCAATGGTAATTCCCAGTTAGTTGACCTCGTCAGCATATTTAAGCTCTGTCTATATAAAATTGATCGAAGTACTGGTCACTTTAAACGATAAGGGATCTGTGTCTTTTCAAACCTCAAAGTCCGTGGGAAACATTATCGAGTAACTTCCTTTGACTTTATTAGCTTTTTGATTTCGTTAATTTCTTTTAAGAGTTTTACCTGGACTTATTACTGATTTAAATAAATAAAACTATTTCATATAGAAAAAAAACATGTCTTATTTAGTACATTATGGGCGCAGTAGCTAAAGTTAATACCATCCGATGTCTTTTTTCATTGGCATGGAAATAGGGCCGCAAGTTTCGATGTTTCGAAATTAGTCCGTTGAACTACAGAACATATAATTTCTAAATAAAATATACTTGAAAAATCCACGCGACTGAGTTTGGAGTTTGTTTTTTTAATAAAGCACCGTTAAACCACTTTCGTTGCTAAAGAATGCACCACTTGACTGCGTGGCCTACTATATATGTACATAATTGATTAAGTCCTCTATAGTTCAGGGTTCTACGCTTAAGTCAACGCTCATTAATATGTATACATAGTATGTACATTAGGGTGGTCCAAAATTGCATGTGAAAAAGTTAAGTCGGAATTTGTATGCTCTCACCCCCTAGGATTGTTCTATACCGAAAAAAATATATCCCTATTTTTTTATTTTGAAATCAAAAAATATTTAGAGGTCGCTCAAAGCGCTCAAAGTTTTCCATGTATTTGATATGGTGAAAAAAAAACAACTTTTCGTAGAAACGGTATATAATTCTTAAAAATTAATATTTTTCTATCGGAAAACTCTGTTTATCTGCAGGAGACTCCCAGTAATAATAAACAAGTCACTTGAAGACAACCAGAGTTTTCCGATATAAAAATACATAGAAAACTTTCGGTTCTTTGAGCGACCTCTAAATATTTTTTGATTTCAAAATAAAAAAATAGGAGTATACTTTTTTCGTTATAGAACAATCCTAGGGGGTGAGAGCATTACAATTCCAACCCTGCTGTTTTTGGACCACCCTATTGGACATGCATGACCCACTTGACTTGCTTTGTTATGTGAATGCATACATTAAGAAAATGAGTTCTGTTTTTAATTAAAAAGGTTCACTGCTTTCTCGATTAAAGTTTGCCCCAACGAAAGTACACACACAAAGCCATTTGCATTTTTCCAGCTTTATACTGCGCATGCTCTTTATTTCTAATTCGTGCTTTGTTAGATTTTACATTCCACACTTAAGACTAGAGTTAGTTAATTTGTGAGTTTATTTTGATTTCAAAAAAAAAACAAAGTTATAAATGATTATTAGATAAGCCTTAAATCCCGAAAAAAAACAATCGTCCATTTTCGCTGATCACAATCGGTTTCATTTCCTCTTCGCCTAGTCCTCGTTCGTCCCCTAAAAGTATGGCTTATCCGGCATTATATTTTTGTCTTGGAAGGTGTTCTACTTAAACTATAAAACATATGCATTCTTAATCAACTAAATGTAATGATATTTGATTTAATTTTAGTTATAATTTAGCTCGTCATAGGTGTTAGATCAAAATTTATTTAAAAAAGTTTATAGGTTTTTTTGTTTTTTTTTTTTGGCAACGCTTACGCCACAACTGGCTGACGTTTCTGCAGCACTACATTGAAACCATTCTCCAGCTTCAGAATTATATCAGCCTGCAGCTTCCAATCCGCCTCGGTCTCGTTCGAGTGCACCGTGTAGTTGCGAATGATGGTGGATAACAGTACTTTCAACTTCAGCATAGCGTACTTGCGACCAACACAACTGCGTGGCCCGGCGCTGAAAGGAATGAAACTGTAGTAGTGGCGATTGGCAGCGCGTTCGGGCAAGAAGTTGTCGGGGTCGAATTTGTCAGGATTGGGGTAGATGTCGGGGCGACGGTGTACGCGATATTGCAACACCGCCACGGTAGTGCCCTTTGGCACAACATATGGACCAGAAGCCAACTTGACATCGCTGTCGACGCGACGCGCAATCAATGGTACTGGTGGGTACATACGCAGCGTCTCCATGATAACACGTTCCAGATATCTCATCTCCAAGGTGTCAGCGAAGGTGCAGTCGCGCAGCAAGTTGTCGCCAAAGATAGCCTTTTGCTCGGCGAACACCTTCTCCTGTATATCCTTGTGCATACCCAACATGCAGAGCGCGAAGCTTGAGCCAGCAGAAGTGGTATCGTGACCCTGGAAAAGATAAATATAAAACGACGTTTCAAATGGGGAAAACTGAGCACTGCAAAAGCTACCTCAAACATAATTGTGTTGACTTCATCCATAATGTCCTTCTCATTCCATTCGATTTCGGGGTTCTTAGCCATCTCCACCATAGCGTCCAACAGAGCCAAACGGCGCTTAGCGCCTACGTCATTCTCATCAATGTCGTCCAAATCGTCACGCAGTCCGCTGACCTTTTTAGTGGCCGCCTTCTTTAGCGGCTCCTCGATCTCCTCAACAATGGCATTACCCTCGGCATTGTAGTTGGCTTTGCGATCCTGTACCACACGTTTGGTCATGCCCAAGATGATATCCATCATCTTGTCACCCTTCTGACGCATTTTAGTCAAATTGTAAATGGAATCCAAGCGGTACATCATTTTCACTTGACGCTTGTGTATGATGTCGCACATGTCCACGACAGCTTTGGCATATTCGAAGCTTTTGTTACCATCCGGGATCTTCTTTACGCCCATAGCAGTGGTAAGCAGGATCTCGACAGTAGTTTGTGACATGTAATCGTGAATATCGAATTCCTTGCCCAATTCCTTGGCCATGCGTTCCACCACATTCTTAGAGTGCTGCACGAAAGTCGGCACGAAACTCTTCAGAATGCTTTGATGGAAGGTGGGCGCAATCATTTTGCGATGATGACGCCAATGACTGCCGCTGCTGATCAGCAGACCATCGCCGAACCATGGCTTAAAGTAGCGGTATTCTTCTGCTTTTTCCAAGTGATTGCTGCTGCTCAAGATGATCTCAATGTCACTGGGATTGGTGAGGAATATGAGGAGCACATGTCCCAACCAAGCGCGTAGTGTATCACCGTACTTATCAAGATAGACATTGCCCTTAGCCAGAACCTCTGCAAGAATAATGAAAAAGCGCACGGAATGAGTTAAGTAATAACTGAGCTTGGCAGCACATTTTTTCTTATAACTAACACTCACCAGCATTCGAGCAGCCCAGCACCAAATGAGCATTACCCAAAACAGGTACCTCCGGTGGGCTGGGAATATTCTTGGTCATGCGATATTCGCGTGAGCTGCGACGCCAGTACTCGTATAAGGCCGCAACCAACAATACACCGATCAGCGATGTCCACAAGGCGCCCAATCCGCCACCGCTGGCGGCGGTTGCCTGCGTAAGGGTCTCTTGTACTGTAGCCGTAGCCGCTGACATTTTTCGTTTTGCACAGTTCTCCTTTTCCTCGGTTAACCCAAAATTGTTATATGAAATTCCTTATCCCGATATAACGAGCTGTTCACCTGATTCCTATGCGTTATTTACCAAATTTACAAATTTACCGTTCCAAAGCACGGCTAACACTGGACTGACTGAACCAATGGTCATGTATGCAATTTTATGGTTTCGAAATTAAATCGTAATTTTCCAATTTACGCAACTGTTAATGAATTCGTTGAGTAGCTTTTAATTAGGAATACAGTTTTTCGAAATGGATTTGCATTTCAAATTCTACATAGGGCATTCATATGCAGTAGGTAGAAGACAAGGGGGGGCCGGGTTTCCCACAATGTAGTACATAACACGTACTAAATACATACATATATGTATACATTTTCATACAAACAAACAATTGGTAAGTATTAAATAGAAATACAATTATCAGATGAGTAAATGTGATTTAAATTTTCCCGATCAATATAGTACATGTTTACAATTACATAAACTCTGCGAAAAAAATTAAAAGAAGAGTCGACAAAATTGCAATTAAAGCACACAAAAATACGACCATAAGATTTGTATGCCAATTACTGTAATAGATCAATTTTTTAACTCTTCCACACGTGTGCAAATTTTTATTGTAAAGTACTTACATATATAGTTAAAAGTTCGCCGACATACATTGTACTGAGTCATGCATTTTATTTGGGATCCACTGAACTTTAATCCGCCGCACTATGTCTATGTCATTGTAAAGCTAATATAGCTCATCGGTGGTGTTCGCCGTCGCCAATGCGCAAAGGTAAGTCAGCCTTTGGAAGAATATTTCCTCCGAAAACTCTAGAGTGTGATGTTTTTACGACGAGAGAGGACTTTATTTCTCAATTAACGATTATGTCGATGTCCTCGGCATCCGTCACCAAACGTACGCTATTGCAAAAAATTGGACCAGTGCGGTTCAGTTAGGCGGCTCTTATTATCTTTTCCAGCATGATATTAAAGAAATCACACGAATAGGGGTTGCCCTGTCTATTACCTCGTTTGGTATCAAACGTCTTGGGGAGGTCCTTGCTAATTTTTATGGAGAGGTAACTTCTTTTCGTGCTGTCGAAAGCCCCTTTGAAATGGACAAATACTTAGATGGTGTATGTCAATCCTGTTCTTGCAGAGCTTTTGTAATATTTTGTACAAGAAGTTCGGAAGGCTGATCCCGCGGTAGTTGGCGCATATGACGGTGTGGCATTTCTTGTGAATTAGGCGGAGCATACTTAAATTTCCTGTCGTCGGGCAGTCGTCGGGAGTTTATGCATGCAACTTATCAACACATCGACGCCGTACTTGAATAGCTCAGCTGGCAGGTTGTCAGCTCCAACAGCTTTGTTGTTTTTCAGCCGCTTAACTGCCATTCGTGCCTCGTCATAGTTATCATCCACTGGGGGATCGGGTTCGTCTTTTCCACAACTTTCAGTACTGCTACCATTCAATAGGGACGAAAAGTGTTCCCTCCATAATATAAGTACGTTTTCGACATCGGTCACTAGGTCGTCATGGTTGTCCTTACAAAAGTTGGCGCTGGTCTTGAAACCTTCCGTAAAAGCTTAAACAGACGGCAGCGTTGATCCGGATCAACTCGTTAATTCGGAGTTATCTCGGGAATTAACTGCAGATGATCCGGATTAAGTTCTAGAGTTAGTTCCCAAACTTAACTCGGATCAAGCGAATATTCGACGACAACACTGACGAAAACTTAGAGAGCGTAGAATACAGAGAAAGTACAAAACTAGCATGGACACATAACTTTTCATTGGTAATGCAATCACCATACTAATTCATATACGAATCCAATTAAAATTGAATACGAACTTATTTGAATTAATACGGTGACTACATTACCAACGATAAGGTGAATGTCCACGCTAAGTAATTTTGCTTTTTCTTTGTGTTCTACGCAAATTAAATTTTTAGAGTTTAGTTTTACTAAAAAAGTAAAAAACAACTAATTAAAAACAACTTTAAAAAAATATAGAAGTTATACTTGAATGAATAAAAAAAAATTAAATGAATATTCTATTGGGATTCAAACCTACGACCTCGCGGCTCGTAAATCCTCATTACTGCCATCTGTCAAGGCACAATTTTGATCAGATCAAGTGTGGCGTTAATCCGGATCAACGTTGCCTTCTTTCCATGCCTTTAGTCGCCCAACTCTCCGGTAAAATTGATGTGCGTTTTTTTCTGTCAGCCAGCTAATTAATCTCTTCGCACTTACGTATTTCGGCTACTCTTTTCTTATTACGGCAAATACGTCTTGGAATCCCTCTTCAGCTCCCAATATCGATCCCCCATAGCACACGTTACACCCGATCGAAGCGTGGCCCAGTAGGCGGATTATTTTTTCTCTGCAGCAGCATGACATTACTCGTCGTACCAATTGTTCCTTCGAGCTCGAAGAAACCCAATTACTTCTTCGCCTGCAGTACGGTGAAGGCTGAATATTCTCTACGTTCGCATCAAAAGTCACTTCCTTGTCCCTGGCATTGAAATCGCCAAGCAACATTTTGATATTGTGGGGGGCAAGACTTGTATGTGCCGTCCATGCGCTCCTTGGACGAATCGGCCTTCTCTTCTGTCGAGGCATAGACGCAAATGGCCAAGATGTTGAAGAATCTCGCTTTGACTCAACGAAGGAGTCTCTCTCCCACCACAAATCCTATAAATACATGGCGGGCAGTGATGACAGTCTTACCGCCCTATTCCCACACCACTGACAAAACTCAGCGGGTGACTATTGCCTTTACTACTGCGCCTAATACTATGCCGCAAATTTATTTTAAGCTGTCGTATGACAATTGTCAGTTTTATTGTTATGACCTACTGAGTAAGTGACAACGGTGAAACAATGTTTATATTGTGTTTTAGGCGCAGTAATTGTGACAATAGTCATATGATGAATTTTGTCAGTGTTGTGGGAATAGGGCGGTTAGTCTTTCTGAGATTATTAACCGTCTGGGCAGAGGCACCTTCTTCATTATGAGCACTTTAAACGTTCGCTGTGTTGACGACTTTATTGGCTTTATGGGATTTTTAATGGCCTTTGTGGCATATTACATATACATATACTTAAATATACTTTCACAGTAGATTCTGACAGAAACTGAATTTTCTGGAATACCTATTGATCGAAAGAATTAAGGAATAAAATTTAATGAAGTTGGAATTTTAAAATGCACCTTGAAATTGCCCTCGTGTATGAGGGTAATGAGTTATTCAGCATATTTTCATACATTTATGCATACTTTGTGTGCATTCGCATATACGTAGTATATATGTATGTATGTACGTGTGTATGTACTTACATATGTATATACCTATGAACTGTTTTATTCTTAAAGGAATTTTGTGTAGTTTGGTAATACTATGTACGTGATATTGTACACATATTGCATATTGCGACTTTAGACGTTTGAATCGTAATGTTCGCTAATTTATTCGAAATATGCGCTTATTGTAGCATACAGGCATACATCTATGTATATACATATGTATGCATATGTAAGTGTGTTTATGTACCCGAACTGGGTTATTGAGCAAAGAAAGTGCAGTAAAGCTTTTAAAAATAAAGTTTTGTAGAGCACATTCATAGATATGTAATTATATTCAGGACATATGTACATAATTCAATTTACAAATCAATAAATACATACCAAGTCATATTGAACTGGTAATAGCACTAATGGAAAACCAGTATTTCGAGTAATCAAATCCCAACAAAAAAAAATTTTTTATCATGACAAATATTTCAACGGAGGGTTAAATTTTGCTCTTTTTCATGAAAAACTATGTATTAACCCTTTTTTTTATCTGCACAAATTTTCTAGCTTTGTAGAGAATTTACCAAATAAATTTCCAGGCACTAAAGAACTGAACTCATATTGAAATAACATTATCTTCGCTGTAATTAGCCACCTCTATCGAGTTCTATTATTTTAATATTCTACCCGGGGCTGTCAAGACTATAATCTGTAATTAGCAAGCTGCTAGATGGACTCAGATCATTGTTTTGAGAATATAGAGCCAAATTTCTTTGGTATCCGGGAACTACCTTTGTTTGATAAAGAATTGAACTGAATTCAAAACGCTGAAGAACGGATGCATAAACGACCAAAAATGCGGTATGATCCCAAAACTAGTACAAACACTGGTCATACACTGTCATGGTCCGGCCCGTATGCCACTGTGGAGTATTGGTTAAGTGGCCAGCAGTAGAGAAGAAATTGAAACAAAATAGGCAGCTACGGGCTACCTCGGACCACAATTTTTCCAGCAAGGAATGGCTTCTTCCCCTCGAAAAAACTGCCACTTTGCGCTCTTAATTTTTCCTTTATTTAAAATTTTTTGGCCTGCACGAGTGCGATTTGACAAAAATCATAATTCGTACTCATTCTCACAAATTATTTGGTCGACAAAAAGAACGGCAATTCGAAAAGTCAGCGAAGTTTTGAATGGGAGATATATTTTTTTGGGGAAAAAAGACAACATTTTATTTCTCAACATAGTCTCCTTCTTCTTCTTGTTCTTCCTTATTGGCGCTGTAACCGGTTAAGTGATTTTGGCCGAGCCAAAACAGTCATTTCAGTGAAGCCAAGTCCTTCTCCAACGCAGAGTAGGGGCCTCTTCCTCTGTTACCAGCATCGCGACCCGCGTTGAATACTTTCAAAGCAGGAGCGTTTCTGTCCATTCGAACGACATGACCTAGCCAGCGGGGCCGCTAAATTTTAATTCACTGCTTATCGTTATATCGTCTGCGGTTTTCGCCATCGCCACCGCGTAAAGGCCCGTAAGTCTTTCGCAGAATCCTCTAGCTCGATTTATTTAGTCCAACGCTTTTTTTCAATTTTTTAATTTCTGCCAAAGAAAAGGATCTTTAAAATAAGCGTTTGTTTCAATCGCAGTGTCACACGAACGGGCATCTGCCCAAAATTTGGTGCAAATCGAATCCTAATCTTGTGAATGCACACACAGTTTTCTTCATCTCAGTTATCAGTCCCAATTTTTTTTTTTTTTTTTGAACCAATAGCCTAATATAAAAAATGTATAAATCTGTACAAATGTAACAATCGTGTGACACAGTCTCATCCGATTTTTTTCCAAATTTTATAAAATGAAATAAATTGTGCACACTTCCATTCTTTAACGAAATTTCGCAAGAAAATCGGTAAAACAATGAAAATAATGCGGCTATGTGAAGAATTTCTTGCAGAATTTTTCCAGATTTTTTCTTTATTTTTCGTACA